GAGCACAGCACACACTGGAAGGATTGGTACAAGGACAGATCTGAAATACGGTGGGATCAGCTACTGCCTTCCATGCTAAAAAGTTTGATTTCGTCCCAGGGTGCCTGGGAATCTCTGAAGACATTCGTAAAGAATGACATGATCAGGTTGGCATATTAGAACACCTTTGCTATCTGTTTTGGGGGTGAATTGTAGGCAGAGAAGACTAAAGACAGGCAGAAAAGTTGACTAAGTGACAGGTGTTGAAGAACCAAACTAAAGCAGCTGCAAAAGATTGTCAGGTAGGAACAGATTATATAAATCAGTGATTCTCAACAGGGTGACACTGCCCCTAGTGGGCATTTTAATATTCGTGGAGGCATTTTTCTGTTTGTCACAATGAGTGGGTAGAGCTACTGGCATTTAGTGTGTAGAAGTCAGGGATATTAGACACGCTGTAATTAGGGGATATACCATACAATAAAAAATTCTGCTTCCCACATGACTTTCAAACATCCATCTAGACATTCTTATAGATGTAAAACTTGATTATAATAATCTCAACCGATATACAAATTCATTTTAAACTACAAATACTTATAGTATGTTTTAATAAATACTGAATTTTCCAGAAATGTAGTTACCAGGTTCGTTGAAGGAAGAATATATATATTGTTTTGTTTGGAATTTTACACAAACATTTTATCTGTAACAGCTATGCCACTCATCCTATCTGAATCAGTAATACAACCCAACTGATCTGCTTTCATTTGCAGTTATTGCATTTACAGTGATCCTCATTTCAAAATGTCTACTATAAAGAAACAGTATCTTTAATATCCACTTGAATATTTGTCTAATTTTTCTTTAACCCTATCCTATTTATAAGTAGTTAAATTATATTATCATTTCATTGGGTCTTCTATAGTTATGCTGAAACGTTTACATGTTATACTACATATTACTTAATATTTAATTATTCTATTTTTATTTTTCCTTTATATTATAGTTAATAAATACATATTTTAAACTTTATGTGTAAAGGTATGTTTTATATAAAGAGGGGACTTTATAAAATAATTGTTTTAAAAAGGAAGCATTGGTTTTTAAAAGGTCGAAAACCACCTATACAGATATTTAAGAGTTAGAATCTATAAATTTTAGTGATTTATTCAGTATGGAGTTTAGAATATAGACATTTATAATTTTAAATGGGTGAAAAGGTGAGGGGATTAAGAAATACAAATTGGATGTTACAGAATAGTCAATGGGAATGTTAAGTACAACATAGGGAATATAGTCAATATTATTCTAATAACTATTTATCATGTCAAATGGGTATGAGATTTATTGCAATGATCGTTTAATGTCTAGTCACTAGTGTGTACACCTGAAACTAATTAACATTATATCTCAACTGTAATTAAAAAATAAAAAACTATTTAAAAAAATATTTTAAAACATTAAACCTGATATTAAAAGCTGAAAATAAAGGAGTGAAGCTGGGTGGCGGGGGTGTTCTAATCCTGGCACATTGACAAGCAATCTATTGCATGTCCATGGCAGAGGTTAAACAGATGGACTTGAGCCAAAGCTTAGAATCATGACCCAGGCTTCTCTAATCTATTTTATAAGTCCTACCCAGCAAGCTAAAGTACATAGGTCAGTAAGTTTCCTGCTAGCACTTCTTGAAATATTCAAAGCCAATAAATGAATATTTTTTAGGTTTGTTTTAGATCCCCATATAAAAGCCCAGGAAGAGAGGATGAAAATAATACATATTTTTTAATAGAAATTTATCACATTACCTTGGTGGTGAACAAAAATGGAAGTTAAAGAGTTAAAACCAGTGTCAAATCATGTGGCCTGAACAATGTGAGTGTTGGTAGAACAAAGGAGTTGGGTGCAGAGTACATGCCAAAGAATGCCTATACTGAATTTGAACAAAAGCCTGCTGAAGGAATGTGTGGCATCAGCGGGTACTTGAACCCAAGAAACACTGATGGGATGACATTTGCAAAGGGCTGATATTCAAAGTAGTTTACAACTAGTGCGGCACAGACACTGACCAATAAGTGTTCGATAATCAGACAGGGCGCCACCTGCAAACAACCAGTAGGGCTTTGCTGGGGCAAGCTACCTGAAATCAAAGTCCCGCCCTTATTTGTGGTTTCTCTTTCTGGAGTTTCAGTTACCTGTGGTCAACCATGGTCCAATATAAAATGAAAATTTTCAGAAATAAATAAGTTTTAAATGGTGAGCTATTCTGAGCAATGTGATGAAATCTCACATTGTCCTGCTCCAACCTGCTGGGGGTGTGAATCATTCCTCTGTCCAGTCTCCCCATGCTGTGTATGCTGCCGGCCAGTTTGTCACTTAGTAACCATCTCAGTAGCTATCTCCAATATCAGATCAACTACTGACTTATTGAAATACTGTGTCCAAGTGATCCTGATTTTACTTAACTAATGACTCCAAAGCACAATGCTGGCAATTCCGATATGCCACAAAGAAGCTGGAAGGCGCTTCCTTTAATGTAAAGGTGAAAGTTCTTGACTTCATAAAAGAAAAAGAACCATATGCTGAGGTTGCTAAGATCTATGGTAAGAACAAATTTTCTATCCATGAAATGGTCTAATTTATCAATTAAACTTTATCGTAGGTATGTATGTATAGGAAAAAAAACATGGTATATATACAGGGTTTGGTGCTATCTGCAGTTTTAGACATTTACTGGGGGTCTTGGAGCATATCCTTTGAGGATAAGGTGGGGGTTACTTTATATTATAGAGATTTCTGATCATCTCAGCCACAAGCCACCAGTGATTGTGGGCAATCACTCTAAAATTGTTCCATAACTTTTAAGATTTAACATGAAGAATTGGAAGCTTTAAAATAACAAAATAAGCACTAGTTATACATACATTAGGATGTATGTGTTATTTATTAGATAAATAATGTGGAGTGTGTAGGCAGTGTACTGAAAACTGAAGACAATGGCTCTGTTTTCATGGAAACTTATTGTTTCCACTAGTTTAACTCAAGGGTGGGAAATCTAGTTTTATTTTTTGTTTAATTAAAATATATATTTTTAAATTCTCACCCGAGGATATTTTTCATTGATTTTTTTATAGAGAGGGTGGAGAGAGGGAAGGAAGGAGGGAGGGGGAGAGAGAGAGAGAGAGAGAGAGATATCCAAGTGAGAGAAACACATTGATTAGCTGCCTCCTGCATGTGCCCCAACCAGGGCCAGGGATCAAACCTGCAACCCAGGATGTGCCCTTGACCAAGAATCGAACCTATGACCCTTAGGTTCACAGGTGGACACTCTAACCACTGAGAAAACCATCCAGGGCTAATTAAAATATTTTGGTATTAAAAATGAAAAGCACATACTCAACAACAAAGAGTGGTGTAATGAAAATCTGTGCACCTACTACTGAGCTTTACACATTCTAACATTTGATTTCTTTTTTAGTTTTTTTTTCATGTAATTTAAGTGTACAGCTTAACAAGTTTTGACTTTTGTATATACCCTTGAAATAATCGTTACAATCAAGAAAATGAACATAGTATTCATCACCCTCAAAAGTTTCCTCATGACTTTTTATAATCCCTCCATCCATGTTACCCTCAGGGAACCATTAATTTTATTTCTGTCCCTATAGATTAGTTTGAATTTTCTAGAATTCATATAAATGGAATCATTCAGTAGGTGCTCTTTTTTTATCTGGCTCCCTTCACTCAGCACAGTTAATTTGAGATTTATCGAGGTTGTTATGAGTATCAGCAATTTATTCCCATTTTTGCTGAGTAATATTCCATGGTTCAAAGGATCCTTATTTTACTTAAATAATGGACATTTGGACTGTTTCCAGTTTGGGGTTATTACATATAAAGGTGCAATAAACATTCATGTTCAAGCCTTTGTGTAAACATATGCTTTCATTTCTCTTGGGTAAATACCAAGAGGTGGAATGGTTCAGACATATGCTAGATTCATTTTTAACTTTTTTAGAAATTGCCAAACTGTTCTCCAAAGTGGTTTATACCATTTTACATTACCTCCAGCAGTGAAAAAGACATTTAGTTGCTCCACATCCTTCCAACACTTGATATGGTTAAACTTATTAATTGTAGATGTCTGAAAGGCGTGCAGTAGTATCTCATTGTGCTTTTAATTGATTAGTGAAATCGAGCACCTTTTAATATTCTTATTTGCCATTTGTTTATATTCTTTCATGAAACCTCTGATCAATTCACTTGCCCATTTTTTAATTGGACTGTCTGTTTTCTTATGATTGAGTTTTGAGGGTTCTTTCCATATATATTATAGCTACCAAGAAATAATACCAAATTATAGTTGTACACCTAGACAAATATTGTTGAAACTCCCAAACTCCCAATTCAAGGGAAAAGTAATGAACCCTACAATCGTCCAAGCAAAAAATTGTCACTTGTGAAGGAAGAAAAATCTAACTGATTTTAGAATTTTTCTTCTCTATGAGATGCTAGAAGAATTTGGAGTGCTGTGAATAGCCTGAGTTTTTAAAATAGTTTTTTTTTTTCAATATACAATGCATTTAAATAGTTGAAAATTCAAAAGTGACAGAAAGGTATACAAAGGAACTGTCTCTTTCCACTCCTGTCCCTAAGCTCTCCAGTTAACCTGTCCATAGACAACCAACTTTTATCAGGTTTCTATATGTGTCTTTCCCATTATATCTTATACACATGTATGCAAATTTATTTTCACAGATAATTAAACACTACACAGTGTTCTTCATTTTATTTAACTGAACTATAAAGCTCAGAGATTATTTCTTAATAGTATAACAAAAACTCCTTTATTGGTAGATGGTATTCATTGCATTAGTGTATTTAGCTATCTATTGCTGTGCAATAAACCAGCTCAAAACTTTGACTCAAAACAATTCTTTGTAAGTATAGCTTATGCACTGGTAGGTTGGTTGAGGATTGAATAATCTGATTGAATAATGTGGTTGGCAAACTCTGCTAATCTGGGCTTGCTCATCCTTCTGTGAATTGACTGGTGTGTTCTACTCTAGGTTGGGCTTATCTAAAAACAGTTCTGCTCCCAATGGCTGTTATCTTCCTCCCAAGACCATGCCAATAGGCTTGGCATGTTCTTCTCATGACAACAGAAGAAGCACAAGGGAAAGCAAACTGAATCCATGTAAGTCCCCTTTAAAATTCTGCTTGTATCACATTTGTCAATGTGCTGCCATGTCAGCCAAAGCAAATTACATGCTAAAGCCAAGGAGCTGGGAATTACACCCCATCTCAATGGAGGAGCACTGCAAAATGACAGGGCACATGGCAACGGGCTTGTATAGGGGAAAGTCAGAAGCAATGGGGCTATTGACATAACCTGCCACAAACTGATATACCACAATTTAGTTAAACAGCCCCCTGTTGGAAGGTTTTCAGCTTTTTGCTATTACAAGCAGTGCGGTAATTACTAATGAGGACGTACGTCATCTTCCACATATGCACGTATGTCTCTAGGATGAATCCTTAGAAGTGGTTTTAGGATACGGACTTTTGCGATTTTGATAGGTATTATTGACAAAGCACTGTTCAGAGATTATTGTAACAATTTATATTACTATCAGCAATGTTGGGATTATGTTATCAATTTTTTGTCTTTGCTAACCTTGCACATGAAAACGTAATTTTTGTATAGGCTTAATTTGTTTGTTTGTTTTTAAATTCTAAGTCAGGTCGACAATCTTTTATATGTTTAAAAATCATTTGTATTTCCTTTTTAAATCCATTTGTTCACTTTTTTGGCCCCCATTTTGTTCCAATTGGTTTTTTAAATTTTCTTAATTGATTTGTACACATTTTAAAAATTAACAATGTATTAAACTAAGGGCACACTCAAAAATAATAGCGGAACCACAGGCCAGTCAGTTCACTAGAGAGATTCAGTGAGAGAGAGAGAGCTAAGAAGAGCCCTCCTGAGGTCAGGACCGACCTCAGAGACTGGCCTCAAAAACTACCCCTACTTGAATTTAATTGTAAGCTAATGTCTTATCTCAGATTGTCATAACAAACTACATAGACTGGGCAATTTAAACAATATACATTTATTTTTCACAGTTCTGGACCCTGGTAAGTCTAAAATCAAGGTGCTCCAAAGTGGTTTACATTTTGTGGCCTCTTAGCTTGTAGGCAGCCACCATCTCTGTATATTCACATGATCACATAAAATATATATATATATCAATTCTAATTTGGAGGTTGTGACTGAAATATGTTTTTACAGAGTTGCCTAATATATGTTCTGCATGGTCAGTGTGACAAATTTTATCATAAGGGATTTATTGTAACATTTTTAAGTCTTTGGACAGAATAAAGAAAATTGGCTTATTAGACCACAAGTTTTACCTAATATGGAAAGTAGAGAGTTCCCAGTTATTTGAGCGTGAGGTATTATTTACTACTAGTTTAATTCTCAATAGCTGTGCCGAACTTGATTTTCTATTAAATTATCTGTTATAAATTCCTACATGTATATAATCTTACTATAAATTGATTTTGGCTAAGAAAACAGAAACCTAACACATAAGTTCCCATTTTATGATAAAATCTTTATTGAGAAAATATTTTCATGCTCAAGAAAACTGCAACAATATATTGTCAATACAAATATTTTACGATTCTTGTTTCCAATGTTTGCTTTTATGTTCTTAAAAGTTTATGGCTTAGAAACAGGCTAGAAGACATTAGATTTTTTTTATAATTAAGAATTAGAGAAGTATTCTGCTTTGCTTCTGGGTGTCTTTAGAGCCCAGTATAGTTGTCACTGAGTTAACGTCTCACTCTGACTTCTCTGTCTTTTCTAAGCCACCTCTGCTTATTACTATAGTCCAACTAGTGGGCTCACAAGTGGACTATGTTTAAAGAAATGTCCAGGGCAGGAATTTGGCCTGGGCTTAGCTATTATCACAAGAAATAATAAATTGCTTAGTGCAGAAATAATTTTTCTATCTTAGAATTTTCACAGCCCTTGGTATTTTTCTTAGGTATCTTCTCTTTCCACCTTGCTTGATGGTTGCTTACATGCAGTGCTCATTTCTCCTACTGTAAGAGACTGAGTTTTACTCATCTGTTTTTATAGCCCATGCCACTTTCTTTTTGTATTTTTATTTATTTATTTTTTTATTGCTTAAAGTAATACAAAGGGTATTACATATGTGTCCATTTTTTCCCCCCCGCCCTAGACAGTCCCCTATCCTCCCCTATCCCCCAGTGTCTTATGTCCATTGGTTATGCTTATATGCATGCATACAAGCCCTTTGGTTGATCTCTTACCCCCCTACCTCCTGTCCCCCAACCCTCCCCGGCCTTCCCGCTGCAGTTTGACAATCTGTTTGAGGCAGCTCTGCCTCTGTATCTATTATTGTTCGAAAGTTTATAATGGTCTCTATTATCCATGAATGAGTGAGATCATGTGGTATTTTTCCTTCATTGACTGGCTTATTTCACTTAGCATAATGCTCTCCAGTTCCATCCATGCCGTTGCAAATGGTAAGAGTTCCTTCCTTTTTACAGCAGCATAGTATTCCATCGTGTAGATGTACCACAGTTTTCTAATCCATTCATCTACTGATGGGCACTTAGGCTGTTTCCAGATCTTAGCTATGGTGAATTGTGCTGCTATGAACATAGGGGTGCATATATCCTTTCTGATTGGTGTTTCTGGTTTCTTGGGATATATTCCTAGAAGTGGGATCACAGGGTCAAATGGGAGTTCCATTTTCAGTTTTTTGAGGAAACTCCATACTGTCTTCCATAGTGGCTGCACCAGTCTGCATTCCCACCAGCAGTGCACAAGTGTTCCTTTTTCTCCACATCCTCTCCAGCACTTGTCGTTTGTTGATTTGTTGATGATAGCCATTCTGACAGGTGTGAGATGGTACCTCATTGTTGTTTTGATTTGCATCTCTCGGATGATTAGTGACTTTGAGCATGTTTTCATATGTCTCTTGGCTTTCTGAATGTCCTCTTTTTAAAGGTGTCTATTGAGGTCCTTGGCCCATTTTTTGATTGGATTGTTTATCTTCCTTTTGTTAAGTTGTATGAGTTCCCTATAAATTTTGGAGATTAGGCCCTTACCAGATATGACATTGGCAAATATGTTTTCCCACGTAGTGGGTTTTCTCGTTGTTTTGTTGATGGTTTCTTTTGCTGTGCAGAAGCTTTTTATTTTGATAGTCCCATTTGTTCATTTTCTCTTTAGTTTCAAGTGCCCTAGGAGCTGTATCAGTAAAGAAATTGCTTCGGCATACGTCTGAGATTTTGTTGCCTTTGGATTCTTCTAGAATTTTTATGGTTTCCTGTCGTACATTTAAGTCCTTTATCCATTTTGAGTTTATTTTTGTGTATGGTGTAAGTTGGTGGTCTAGTTTCATTTTCTTGCATATATCTGTCCAATTTTCCCAACACCATTTATTGAAGAGACTATCTTGGCTCCATTGTATGTTCTTGCCTCCTTTGTCAAATATTAATTGAGCATATTGGTTCGGGCCGATTTCAGGGCTCTCTATTCTATTCCATTGATCTATATGCCTATTCTTGTGCCAGTACCAGGCAGTTTTGAGAACAGTGGCTTTGTAATACATCTTGATATCTGGTATTGAGATCCCACCTACTTTGTTCTTTTTCAGGATTGCTGCAGCTATTCGGGTCTTTTTTTATTCCAGATGAATTTTTGGAGAGTTCGTTCTAGATCTCTGAAGTATGCCGTTGGTATTTTAATGGGAAGTGCGTTGAATTTATAGATTGCTTTGGGTAGTATGGACATTTTAATGATGTTGATTCTACCAGTCCATGAACATGGTATGTTCTTCCATCTGTTTATGTCTTCCTCTATCTCTTTTTTCAACGTCCTGTAGTTTTCTGAGTAGAGGTCTTTTACCTCTTTAGTTAAGTTTATTCCTAGGTAGCTTAATTTTTTTGGTGCGATGGTAAACGGGATTGTTTTTATAATCTCTCTTTCTGAAAGTTCACTATTGGTGTATAGAAATGCCTCAGATTTCTTGGGGTTAATTTTGTATCCTGCTACATTGCCAAATTCATGTATTAAGTCTAGTAGCTTTTTGATGGAGTCTCTAGGGTTTTGTATGTATAATATCATGTCGTCTGCAAATAAGGACAGTTTTACTTCCTCTTTTCCAATTTGGATGCCTTTTATTTCTTCTTCTTGCGGAATTGCAATGGCTAACACTTCCAGTACTATGTTGAACAGGAGTGGTGAGAGGGGGCATCCCTGTCTTGTTCCTGTTCTTAGGGGAAATGGTGTTAGTTTTTGTCCATTGAGTATGATGTTGGCTGTGGGCCTGTCATATATGGCTTTTATTATGTTGAGGTATGATCCTTCTACTCCCACCTTGCTGAGAGCTTTTATCAAAAATGGGTGTTGAATTTTGTCAAATGCTTTTTCTGCATCAATTGATATGACCATGTGGTTTTTTTCTTTCAATTTGTTTATGTGATGTATCACGTTTATTGATTTGCGGATATTGTACCATCCTTGCATCCCTGGGATAAATCCTACTTGGTCATGGTGTATGATCTTTCTGATGTACTGCTGGATCCAATTTGCTAAGATTTTGTTGAGGATTTTGGCATCTATGTTCATGAGGGATATTGGCCTGTAATTCTCTTTCATTGTGTTGTCTTTACCTGGTTTTGGTATTAGGGTGAGGCTGGCTTTATAGAATGAGCTTGGAAGTGTTCCTTCCTCTTGAATTTTTTGTAGTAGTCTGAGGAGGATAGGTTTTAGTTCTTCCTTGAATGTTTGGTAAAACTCCCCTGTGAAGCCGTCTGGTCCTGGGCTTTTGTTTGCTGGAAGCTTTTTGATGACTGCTTCAATTTCTTCCATAGTTATTGGCCTGTTGAGATTTTTAGATTCTTCCTGATTGAGTTTTGGAATGTTGTATTTTTCTAGGAATTTGTCCATTTCCTCCATGTTGTCTAGTTTGTTGGAGTAGAGCTGTCCATGGTATTTTTTAACAATCGTTTGTATTTCTGTGGGGTCCGTTGTTATTTCGCCTCTATTGTTTCTGATTTTGTTTATTTGGGTCCTCTCTCTTTGCTTCTTGGTGAGTCTGGCTAGAGGTTTGTCAATCTTGTTTATCCTTTCAAAGAACCAGCTCTTGGTTTCAT